CCATTGTTCATCAGTTGTTCACCAAACAGGCGAAACGTTAAAATGTGGCATATTCAAACACAGAATACTGCTCAGCCATAAAAAGGAATGAAGCTTAAACACACACATGAATATCCAAACATGCTGAGTAAAATGAACTTACAAAATACATCCTGTATGAATGAGTTCATTATATGAAGTTCTAGAATAGGCAAAATAAACCTACAGTGAACAAAATCCTAACAGTAGCTGCCAGGGGAGGGAAGAAGGGACAGGAGAGAAAGGTGCAGGAATTGACCAGGTGGAAAAATTCAGATGTAATACAAATGCTCCAAACTTAGGGGTTTCGGTTACACGCTTTTACATCAAAACTCATCAAATGAGGCTGGGTGCAGTGGCTCACACCTGTAATCCCAGCACTCTGGGAGGCATACGCAGGACAATCACTTGATGTCAGGAGTTTGAGACCAGCCTGGCCAACATGGCAAAACCCTGTCTCAAATAAAAACACAAAATTAGAGCCAGGTGCAGTGGCTCACACCTATAATCCCAGCACTTTGGGAGGCTGAGGATCACAAGGTCAGGAGTCCGAGACCAACCTGCCCAATATGGTGAAATCTCCCCCTCTAATAAAAAATACAAAAATTAGCCAGGCATGGTGGCAGGCACCTGTCGTCCCAGCTACTAGGGAGGCTGAGGCAGGAGAATGGCTGGAACCTGGGAGGTAGAGGTTGCAATCAGCCAAGATCAAGTCACTGCACTCTAGCCTGGGCGACAGAGCGACTTCGTTTCAAAAAAATAATAATAATAATAGAAAAAATTAGCTGGGCATGGTGGTGGGCACCCATGTAATCCCAGCTACTCTTAAGGCAGGAGAATCCCTTAGCCTAGGAGGTGGAGGTGGCAGTGAGCCGAGACCAGGGCACTGCACTCTAGCCTGGGTGATACAGCAAGACTTCATCTAAAAAAAAAAAATAAACAAAAACAAAAAACTCATCAAATGATAGACAACATTTATTCACCTTACTGCAAATCTCCCTCAAAAAACTCCAGCTACGGCTGGGTGCAGTGGCTCATGCCTGTAACCCCAGCACTTTGGGAGGCCGAGGCAGGCAAGTCAATGGAAGCCAAGAGTTCAAGACCAACCTGGCCAACATGGTGAAACCCCATCTCTACTAAAAATACAAAAATTAGCCAGGCATGGTGGTGCACATCTGTAACCCCAGCTACTAGGGAAGCTAAGTCACAAAAATTGCTTGAACCTGGGAGGCGGAGGTTGTAGTGAGTGGAGACCATGCCACTGCACTCCAGCCTGGGTGACAAAGCAACTGTCTCAAAAACAAATAACTCCAATGACATGTATGCTGAAAGGATTAAAAGAAAGAAATGTCTATAACTTACTTAGACATGCATATAGAAAAAAAGATGAGCCTGCAGGAGACAGGTATGTGATAAAGCATGGCAAAATGCTACTTGTAGAATCTAAGGGATGAGTATTGGCTTCACCTTTTCTGCATGCTTGAAATTTTTTATATAAAAATGTTGCAGGTAAAATTACACCTATAACCCAATTGCAATGTATGGACTGTTTGGATGCTGATTCAAATCTACTTTTAAAAAAATAACATTTCAAATCATAGGTAATTGGTGACAACAAATTATTACTATTAGGAATAATTTTAAATTTTTTTTAGAGCTGCATGATGAAATATTTACATATGAAATACTGTCTAGATTTGCTTTAAAATTGAAAAGTGGACTGGAACTAGAGATGAAACAGGACTGACCACAAGTTGATTATTGATGGTTATATAGGTTTATTATTCTATTTCTGTATGTTTGAAATGTCCTATAATAAAGGGTTTTGTGTGTTTTTTTTTTTTTTTTAAAAGAAAAATGAGAAAGGAATATGAAGACAGTTCATAGAAAAGAAAATCCAGGCCAGGTGCAGTGGCTCACATCTGTAATCCCAGCACTTTTGGGAATCTGAGGTGAGCAGACTACTTTGAGTCCAGCCTGGGCAACATGGCAAAATCCCATCTCTACAAAAAAAAAAAAAAAAAAAAAAAAAAAAAAAAGCCAGGTGTGATGGTATATGCCAGTGGTGCCAGTTATTGGGGAAGCTGAGGTGGAAGCATCACTGGGGCACAGGAGGTGGAGGTTGCAGGGAGCCATAATTGCACCCCTACATTCCAGCCTGGGCAACAGAGACCCTATCTCAAGAAAAAAACAGGGCTGGGCACAGTGGCTCATGCCTGTAATCCCAGCACTTTGGGAAGCTGAGGTGGGTGAATCACCTGAGGTCAGGAGTTCGAGACCAGTCTAACCAATATGGCAAAACCCTCTCTCTACTAAAACTACAAAAAAAAATTGGCTGAACATGGTAGTTCACACCTGTAATCCCAGTATTTGGGAGGCCGAGGCAAGCAGATCACATGAGGCCAGGAGTTCTAGATCAGTCTGGCCAACATGTTGAAACCCCATCTCTACTAGAAGTTAGCTGGGTGTTGTGGAAGGTGCCTGCAATCCCAGCTACTCAAGAGGCTGAGGCAGGAGAATTGCTTGAACCCAGAAGGTGGAGGTTGCAGTGAGTCAAGACTGCGCCACTGCACTCCAGCCTGAGTGACAGAGCGAGACTCCATCTCAAAAAAAAAAGGAAATCCAAATGAAGAAAGGCTACCTTATAAAAGAATCCTATTTTTTTTTTCGTATTTTTTTAACGTGTCAGATTGACAAAGAATAGATTGCTAATTTGTTACGTTGGTGAGGCTATGGGGAAATGGCATTTGCATTATTGGGACAAACAACTTTAGATATAAATTTAATTTTAGATATAAAATGTAAGTGCACATAATCTCACCGTTTATCCTACAGAGAAATGTATGTATGCACAAGATTATATAAGCTTATACAACGTAATTCACTTTGGCATTACAATAGCATAAGATTGAAGACAATTCATGCCACATAATCATTCAAAAAGAACGAGAAAAGACTTTAAATACTAACAGAAAATGACCTTTAGGATGTTTAGTAATGCAAATGCCATTTCCCCCTTGCAGCTCCTTAGAAGTAGCCAGGCTAAAGCAGGGTATGAGCACTGACCATATACCCCAGTCCCACCATTCTTCTTGATAGTTTTATCACAAGGGAAGTTATAGACATAAGGAACCCAGACAAAAGAGGGAAATTCACCATCACTGCCTCCTTCAATAGCAAACAGTGATGCATAACACAGTCTTCCAAATGTAGGGAGACAGAAGTGTCTTCCACTTGCATGGAAATAAGATTACTTTTACTCTGTTATGTGTTTCTCTTCCTTTCCCAGTAACTACATTAACCTTAGCAATCATTTACTAGCCTAGATTATTAACAAAAACAAGAGAGCAAATACATAAGATGGACTTCCCAATGGCCATCTTTTGTACAGAAAATTCAGCCTGTAGTGTGGCAAGAAGATACATCCTTTCAACCTTACCCATCATATAGCATTTTAATGCTTTTGCTTTCATTCTTTTCCAAGATGTGTAAATAAAACTCATTAGTTTCAAACAACTGCAAATGAATTCTTCACTACCCCAATCACGAAAGACCCCACAGATCTTTTCCACAGCAAATTAGATACCAAATGTGAAAGAGAGAAACAAACATCACGTTCTAAACAATTCATACAACTAGAGATACCAGTTCTCATAGCTTGGCACATTCGAGCATATATGAAAACGCATTTCCATCTAAGTAGTACTACTGATATGAAGCTGGTTAAGTCACGTTCACAGGATTTAAAAGAACACACACACGAAAATTAACCACTTCTTCTTATATTAATATACGAGTACTTGAGGTAATAATATATTCAGTGACACACATTCCAATAATAAATACTCTTAGGTAATCTTCAGCCTGAACAAATCCTCATTTATTGACTACTTACAGTACAGTGATTTCGCATCTTAGCTGGTAATCAAAGATGGTTATGTATTAAATAAGAGAAGACACAGTCTCTCTTCCAGACTATCACCTCTCAGAAATCTGGGCAAATTTAATTTTAAGAACTAGAATTGCATCTCCTGGTGGCAGTCGTCACCCTGAGAACAGGCACAAGGCAAAGTAAGTACACAGGATTTTGATTCTCCTACACAGGTGCACATAAAGTTAGTTTATTAATGACTACATTTTGAAGCCAGCCATTTTGTCCAATATTTAAGTAACAAACTGTTTAATATTAAAGCAGAATGTACTGCCACACTGTGACAGAAGTACAGCTTTATCCATAAACCCTTCACACAATTATACATCAAATGCTATTTTTATTTAAGCAAGGCACCCCTACTTGTTCTAAAATATGGGATGTGCTACTCCACTGTAAAAGCAAATGAGGAGACTGATTGTTTCCTATCTAGAGCTGGTTTAAATTCAAGTGAAGCCATTAATTTTCTCACCAGTCTGGACTGTTCTGACATGTCACTTCACAGTTTTGAGACTAACAAACACCTTTAGATTTACCCCAAAACAAAAAAGCCAGGGAGGGACCGTTCAGACAACTTTTAAGACTAGAATGCCCCTTAAGTAGATAGGCACCAACATTAAACACCTTTAGCACAAGGCTTAGAAAGGCAAAACATTTCTAAAGACATAAAACTGCCAAATTGCCATTTACACTCATTAAGCTGTGATATTTATTTTTTGCTTTTTAAAAATTCCTAAGTAATCAAATACAGCAAAATTTAAAACTATTCTACCAAACCATACCAGTTCAAAGGTCAGAAACCTTTCTTTGCTTTGGTGAATGTTTGGTTAAAATAAATCACTGTTTCACTCCATGAGAATTTTTACATCAGAGCACTCAATTCACAGGCAAAAAAAAAAAAAAAAAAAAAAAGTATTATTTTTTAAATGAAAGAATTTAAGGAATACTGCTGAATAAAAATACGTAGTCTTTACAATGGATAACATACCACCTATGAAAACAAACTGTCTAATCATATAAAATAAAGACCATATTTTAAAATCAGATACTGGACAGTTTAAACAATAAAGTTTTAATTTGTGGTTTATTTCATAAGCCCAAACTGGATCTTTCATTTCTTCTTCTAAACAGTCCATTATGAAATTTTTCTTAGAAGCAATTAACCCAAAACACCAAAATCAATTCCCCAGCAGTTACTGCTAATAAACTGGAACTGTACATCCCATGTCCAAGAAAGATGTGCAAATGAAATGCTTCTGGCTTCATTCTAAAAAACAAAAAAAAAGGTTGCACATTTACTCAAGATGAAAAAGGATGGCACACATTCCCATACCATTTAAAATCGCGAGTTCAAATTTTGTGCAATTTATCTGATAAATCAAGTTAAAATGAGAAAAAACTAGTTAGGCATTAGTGTTTACAGCCTGGCATAAAAAAACAGAGTTTCAGAATACATTTTAAATAGATTTAGGCTATTATAAATACTTAACATCACAGAACTGTGGGAATTCATATCCAAAAATAGTAATAGAGTACGATACAGAAACAGAATGCCCATTTTTTTGGTTTGTTTTTTGAGATGGAATTTCATTCTGTCATCCAGGCTGGCTTGAGTGAAGTGGCAAAATCTTGGTTACTGCAACCTCCACCTCCCAGATTCAAGTGATTCTCCTTCGCCCTTCCATGTGGCTGAACTACAGGGTGCACCACCACACCCAGCTAATTTTTGTATTTCTAGTACAGTCAGAGTTTCACCATGTTGGCCAGGCTGGTCTTAACTACTGACCTCAGGTGATCTGCCCTCCTGGCCCCATGTGTTTTCAAGAAATCATTACAGTTCAGTGTATCAAAAGAATGAACCATTACATGTAGAAAGGTGACTGCAATGCAACAGTAATTAAAATACTTTATGGGAAAAAAGACACCATATATTTAATCAAGGGAAGGGATATTAAGACATATTTAGCAAATCTCACAGGTAAATTAACACTATAAAATTATGCACTTCCTAAGGCAAAAAAAAAAGCCATTTTAGGAAAATCAAACAGTGACACATTAACTGTGTATATACGGATGACACACTCTGGTTCCACATGTATTCTTATAAAAATACCTTAAAACAGGCTGGGAATGGTGGCTCTCACCTTTGGGTGGCTCCCAGCACGAGGCTGAGGCTAGCAGATCACTTGATGTCACAAATTTGAGACCAGCCTGGACAACATGGTGAAACCCTGTCCCTACTAAAAATAAAAAAATTAGCCAGACATGGTGGCGGGTGCCTGTAACCCCAGCTATTCGGGAGGCTGAGGCAAAAGAAGCTTGAACCCAGGAGGCAGAGGTTGCAGTGAGCTGAGATTGTGCCACTGCACTCCAGCCTGGGCAAAAAGAGTGAGATTCCGTCTCAAAAAAAGCAAAAAAACAAAAAAGCTGAAAAAATGTGTTTAAGTGGGGGGAAAAAAGCTAATGCAAGTCACATATTCAGTCTATTACGATTTACAGCCACTAAAGGTGGCTCAACTATTTTTTGGCACGTGGCACAATGGATGTTAGAAATCATGCATAAAAATTCTGTATGGAGATAATGCTCAAAGCTACTACACAAATCAAACTGTAAGGAATTCTAGCTGTGCACAGTGGCTTACACCTGTAATCCCAGCACTCTGGGAAGATGAGGCCGGTGAATCACTCAAGGCAAGGAGTTAGTTGAAGACCAGCCTGGCCAACATGGTGAAATCCCAATTCTACTAAAAATATTTTAAAAATTAGCCAGGCATTGTGGTGGGCGCCTGTAATCCCAGCTACTCAGGAGGCTGGGGCAGGAGAATCACTTGAACCTGGAAGGCAGAGGTTGCAGTGAGCCAAGACTGCACCACTGCAATCCAGCCTGCTCAAAAGAGCAAGACTCTGTCTCAAATAAAAATGAAAATGAAAAAAAAAAAAAAAAATTTCATTCCTTATATTGACACTTTAATTATCATGATTAGTTTTATCTTTATTAAAAGGAATGGTACCAAAATGGAGTGGCTCATTCTAATTCCAACACTTTGGAAGGCAAAGGCAGCAAGATAACCTAAGACCAGAAGTTCAAGACCAGCCTAGTCAACATAGTGAGACCCCCATCTTCACAAAAAATTTAAAAATTAGCTAGACACAGTAGCACACACCTGTAGTCCCAGCTACTTGGGAGGCTGAAGTGAGAGAATCGCCTGAGCCTAGAAGGCTGAAGCTGCAGTGAGCTATGATTGAACCACTGCTAGCTTGGGCAACAGAGCAAGACCTGGTCCCTAAAAAAATTTGAGAAATGAAAAGAGAATGGTTTCCACCACATTATAAATTAGTAAGTAGATGATGAGTTTACCAATAGAAAATAATTTCCACAGTTGTACTTCTATCTTTTTTTTGAGTCTCGCTCTATTGCCCAAGCTGGAACACAGTGGTGCAATCTCAGCTCACTGCAACCTCTGCCTCCTGGGTTCAAGTGATTCTTCTGCCTCAGCCTCCTGAGTAGCTAGGATTACAGGTGCCTGCCACCATGCCCAGATAATTTTTGTATTTTTAGTAGAGATGGGGTTTCACCGCGTTGGCCAGGCTGTTCTCAAACTCCTGACCTCAAGTGATCCGCCTGCCTCAGCCTCCAAAGTGCTGGGATCACAGGCATGAGTCACTGCACCCGGCCCACAGTTGTACCTCTTAAATTTACCTTATTATCTGGAGCCCCTGAAGTCTTATTTTCCTTTTGGACATGAATTCAGGAACAGTTCAATATACCTATGATCTGAGGACAATGAGAAAGATTAGTTTAAAAAGTTGAAAGGCAGAAAAATATTACAGCCATTTTTCACACAGTTAAGACAGCAACTCAAACCCTTTGCCCTTTCCTTTCCCTAATTAAAAACAAAATTTAGTCTGGTGCCATGGCTCATGCCTATAATTCTAGCACTTTGGGAGGCCAAATCACCTGAGGTCAGGAGTTTGAGACCAGCCTGGCCCACATAGTGAAACCCCATCTCTACAAAAAATACAAAAATTAGCCGGGTGTGGTGGCACATGCCTATAGTCCCAGCTACTCAGGAGGCTGAGGCAGGAGAATCACTTGAACCTCGGAGGCGGAGGTTGCAGTGAGCCAAGATCACGCCACTGCACTACTGACTGAGCAACAGACAAGCCTCCGTCTCAAAAAACTACAAACAAACAAAACGTAAAATGGACAAACAGGCTGGGTGCAGTCACTCATGCCTATAATCCCAGCACTCTGAGAGGTCAAGGCGGGTGCATCATTTGAGAGTTCGAGACCAACACAGCAAAACCTGTCTCTACTAAAAATACAAAAATTAGCCAGGCATGGTGGCAGGCACCTGTAATCCCAGCTGCTCAGGTGGCTGAGGCAGGAGAATCACCTGAACCTAGGAGGCTGAGACTGCAGTGAGCCGAGATTGCCCCACTGCACTCCAGCCTGGGTTACCAAGAAAGAAAGAAAGAAATATGCAGGATAATTAGTACACAAATGTTTTCTTATAATATAGTGTTTTATCTGTTATATTTAATTTACTAGTACTAAAAGAAAACAAATTTCCCAAGGAAAAATTCTACAATCCCAAATCAGAAAGAAATATTTGTAAGCAAGGACAAGCATCAAAAATGACAACGAAAGCCACAGGCAGGACTTACGAACGTGGGACCGATCCTTAAGCATCGCTGCAACAGCATCCTCATGGGTCTCAAAGTGCACATCAGCTTCTCCAGTGGCCTTCCCACTGGAGCTGTATTCCATGGTGATTCTAACAGGCTTCAGTGGAGCGAAAAACTAAACAACAAACAAAGGCAGTCAAGAGGAACATGATGGAAGTAAGCCTACCTAGAAGTCTGGTGGCTCTTCATCTTTCTTTCAGACTTTGATTCATACACTTGACGTTATTTGTTTTTAGGAAATCCCTTTTTTAAGCAATAATATATTTATACATCCAGTATGTCTTCTGGCTTTTCTAATTTTCCTCAGAACTCAAAGTTACATTTCAAATATCTGCTCTCCACAAGCACCGTGGCTCACACCTGCAATCTCAACACTTTGGGAGGCCGAGGTGAGCGGATCACTCGAGCTCAGAAGTCCAAGACCAGCCTGGACAACATGGTGAAACCCTGTCTCTACTAAAAATACAAAAATTAGCCAGGCATGGTGGCGCATGCCTGTGATCACAGCTACTTGGGAGACTGAGGCAGGAGAAATGCTTAAACCTGGGAGGCAGAGGTTACAGGGAGCCAAGTCCATGCCACTGCACAGTAGCCTGGGTGACAGAAAGAGACTCTGTCACCAAAAAAAAAAAGTAATATCAAGCCATACTTTCAGCTACAGAAAAATGAGGAAGACTTGCAACCAGGAAGATGCCATCTTACTATCCAGATAATCCAGAAACGCCATATTTTTTTCTCTACCTTCCCCAAATTAATACAAGTTCAATGTTAGAACTTTTATTCAAAACTACTGAGATTAGGTATCTTACTGCCACACACGTTTATAATGTCTTGGGCATTGGCTTGGAAAGGTAATCCTCTCATGTGGACAAAATGCAGACAAGGCGTAGTTCCAAAATCAGCAGCCTCTGGAAGCTTTTCTGGCACCTCCTTAGGCAATTCTGAGAGATGGAACAAAAAGCACTGTTAAAACACAACAGCTTCAAGGGCTATTAACAGATTCTCATTAGGTATGACTTCTATGTCCAAATCCTCAGTTCCTCTTGAACCAGTAAAGAAAGGGCTTTAAAAGCCAAAATCATCTGAAATTTCTGCCACTAAACAAGTATCACGTGACCACCTATAAGCACTGAATGCTTCAGACCATTACCAGTTTAAGAACTTACCCCTTTTTGTAACAACAGAGAAGTAAAATGATTATGAATTAAACCCTAGAAAGAGACTTTCTAGATTATAGGTACTAAAAAAAAAAAAAAAAAAAAAGGACAAAGGCTGGGCGTGGTAGCTCACACCTGTAACCCCAACATTTTGGAAGGCTGAAGTAAGAGAATCACTTGAGCCCAGGAGCTCGAGACCAGCCTAGGCAACATAGCGAGGCACTGTCTCTACAAAAAAAAAAAGGAAAGTAAGTTAGCTGGGCATGGTAATGAATGTCTATAGTCCCAGCAACTCAGGAGGCTGGGGTGGAAGAACTGTCTGAACCCAGGAGTTCAAGGTTGCAGTGACCCATGATTGTACCACTGCACTCCAGAATAAACCACAGAACAAGACCTTGTCTCAAAAAAAAAAAAAAAATACACACACACACACACACACACACACACACGATTAATTGACCAGGCATGGTGCCTCATGCCTGTAATCCCAGCACTTTGGGAGGCCAAGGTGGGTGGATCACCTGAGGTCGGGAGTTTGAGACCAGCCTGACCAATATGGAGAAACCTTGTCTCTACTAAAAATACAAAATTAGCCAAGCATGGTGGTGCATGCCTGTAATCCCAGCTACTCGGGAGGCTGAGGCAGGAGAATCGCCTGAACCCGGGAGGCAGAGGTTGCAGTGAGCCAAGATCGCACCATTGTACTCCAGCCTGAGCAACAAGAGCAAAACTCCATCTCAAAAAAAATAATAAAAAGTTATTTATCAAACTTAAAAGACTCCAAATATTGCTTTGGGCCAGGAATCAAAGAAATAATTAAATTCAGAAGCAAACAAAAATTCTTACTTCAGCCAGGTACAGTGGCTCACACCTGTAATCCCAGCACTTTGGAAGGCAGAGGCAGGCCAATCACCTGAGGTCAAGAGTCTGAAACCAGCCTGGCCAACATGACTATTCCCTGTCTCTACTAAAAACACAAAAATTAGCTTGGCAGGGTGGTGGGTGCCTGTAATCCCAGCCACTCAGGAGGCTGAGGCAGGAGACTTGCTTGAGCCCAGCAGGCAGAGGTTGCAGTGAGCTGAGATCACACCACTGCACTCCAGCCTGAGAGAGGGAGCGAGACTCTGTCTCAAAAAAAAAAAAAAAAAAAAAAAATTCTTCCTTCAGTCAGTATTCTTGCTCATTACCCAAATTTTCCCCCATCTTAATTTAAATATTGACAATTTACTTCCTTTTATCACATTTTTATTATCTAGGTTTTGATATAGTTAATAAAAATGGTTAAATCAAAAGCCTAGACAAATAATTAAGCCTTTCTGCATATACTTAAAGTACATACTATCCTCAAAAACATATTAAATCTTTAGGCCAAGCGTGTTGGCTCACACCTGTAATCCCAGCACTTTGGGAAGCCGAGGAGGGTGGATCACTTGAAGTCAGGAGTACCAGACCAGCCTGGCCAACATGGGAAAACCCCGTCTCTACTAAAAATGCATAAAAAATTAGCCAGGCGTGGTGGTACACCTGTAGGTAGCACCCGCCTGTAGTCCCAGCTACTCCGGAGGCTGAGGCATGAGAATCACTTGAACCCGGGAGGTGGAGGTTGCAGTGAGCCAAGATAGCACCACTGCACTCCAGCCTGGGTGACAGAGCAAGACTCTGTCTCAAACAAATAGACACCTTAACATAATTTCCTTATCCTATAGTCTTACAATTTCATACAACATGATCATAAAAAAATTTAGGCTGGGAGCGGTGGCTCATGCCTCTAATCCCAGCACTTTGGGAAGTCGAGGCAGGAGGATCATGAGATCAAGAGATCGAGACCAACCTGGCCAACATGGTGAAACCCCGTCTCTACTAAAAATACAAAATTAGCTCAGTGTCGTGGCGCACACCCATAGTCCCAACTACTCGGAAGACTGAGGCAGGAGAAGTCCTTGAACCCAGGAGAGGTTACAGTGAGATGAGATCGTGCCACAGCCTGGAGATAGATTAAGACTCTGGGTCCCCCCCACAAAAAAATTTAACAAAACCCATAACATTCAAGAGACCCAATGAGTCTGAAGAAGAGGCAGGAACTTACCTATTTCTTTCTCACTTTCAAAAGCTGTCATGGGTCGAATATCCTCATTTACTTCGTGTTCTTCGAAGACCATTTCTGGCTCAGTTATATACTTAGCAGTAGGAGAAGATGCCATTTTCTTTCCCTTATGAGAACCAACATGTGTTCGAACTTCATTCCTTCTGCTTGGAAATATCTCGATGTATCTATGTCAAAGCAAAAGTAAACAAGCACAAATGGTGCAAAGTAACTTTATACTGAACTCCTTTATAAACATGTATATATTATATTTCCAACAGTTTATGAAACACAGGTGTCCAAAGATAACAGGTAGGGGGAAAGTAATAACAGATATACATAGTAGCCCATGAAAATGTAAAACAGAGTAGGTTACTGATTAAAGTTTTCACACCAAGATAACACTTTTTCTTCATATACGTTTTAATAATATCTTCTACTGTTTTGCTTCATGAGAACTCCTATGCTTAAGCTAATCATGTACACAGAAAAAAATCTCATAGGCATTTTTTAAGTAGTTGGTTAACAATCTCTTGAAGCCTTGCAATTCAATTCTGTGAAAATTAATCACATCTGTATAAAATATTAAAAGTCACAGTAAAAGAAGAGCTAACTTCTGCAGAACCTCACTAAAAGGCTAATGAGAATTCAAGAACTAAGTATCAATTCTGACTTGCTATCACAGTGGAGGAGACTATCTATCAAACCCAAGCCTCTGGAACTAGCTCTTTTTTTTGCAGCTTGGGTGTCTTGGTGTCACCCAGGCTGGAGTGCAGTGGTATGAACATGTCTCACTGCAGCCTCAACCCCCTCGGCTCAAGCGATCCTCCTGCCTTAGCCTCTGGAGCAGCTGGGACCACTGCTGCTTGCCACCACATAATGCTAATTTTTGTATTTTTTATTTTTGTAGACATGGGTTCCTGCCATGTTGCCCAGGTTGCTCTTGAACTCCTGGGCTCAAGTGATTCTCCCACTTCAGCCTCCGAAAGCGCTGGGATTACAGGCATGGGCCAACATGCCCAGCTCAGTTTTCTTTTTCTTAACATGGCTTTCTAGACTGAGAGTTATAAAAATAATTTGTGTTTACAAATCTATAAAGATTAGATGAACACCACTTCTTTAAAAAAAAAAAAAAAAAAAAAAAACTTTTGGGCGGAAAAAAAAAAGAGAGAAATCCTCTCTAAAAAATTTTTTTTTTTTTTTTTTTTTTTTTAATTAGCCAGAAGACCAGGTACAGTGGCTCACACCTGTAATCCCAGTACTCTGGGAGGCTAAGGCAGGTGGATCACTTGAACTCAGGAGTTTGAGACCTGCTTGGGCAATATGCAATATTCCCTCTCCACAAAAATACATAAATCAGCTGGGTGTAGAGGCATGCACCTGTAGTCCCAGTTACTTGGGAGGCTGAGGTGGGAGAAATGCTTGAGCCCAGGAGGTCAAGGCTGCAGTGAGCTATATCACACAACTGCACTCCAGCAAGGGTAGCAGAGCAAGATCTGTCTAAAATTGGCCAGGCATGGTGATGCATGCCTGTGGTACTAGCTACACAGGAAGCTGAGGTGGGAGGATTGCTTGAGCTCAAGAGGTCAAGGGTGGAGTGAGCAGTGTTCGTGTCACTGCACTCTAGCCTGCGTGACAGAGCAAGATCCTGTCTCAAAAAAAACCTTTGAACCACTTCTATCAGTAGATCCTGAAATACACTGGCTTTGGAATGGCTGTTTTATTTCAAAGAAGCTGATTTAAAAGGCCAGAAAACAGCAAAAGAAAATTAACAAAATAGTGATTTAACATTTGACATTTTAAACTGTTACCTCCAAAATTAAAGTTAAAATACAAATGAGTCCACTTATCATTATGTACATCCTGATGTGATGTGAACATGAGACACTGTATAAGAAAACTGATCTAATTTCTTCGAAAGTCAGTTGTTTTTTAAAAGTGGGAGGGAATAAGGGAATTTACTCTAGTTCAAGAGAATTGGTGGTCAGGTGCAGTGGCTCACACCTGTAATCCCAGGATTTTGGGAGGCCAAAGTGGGAGGACCACTTGAGCACATGAGTTTGAGGCCGCCAGGGCAACAAAACAAGAGCCCATCTACACACACACACACACACACACACCCCGTCCCAGGTGTGGTGGCAAATTCCTACAGTCCTAGCTAGGTTGGAGAATGACCCAATCCACACACACCCAGGTGTGGTGGCACATGCCTATAGTCCCAGCTAGTCGGTAGGATGAGGCAAGAAGGTTGCTCGAGCCCAGGAATTCAAGGCCCTAGTGAGCTAACATCATGCCACTGCACTCCAGCCTGGGTAACAGAACAAGACCCTGTGTCTTAGAAGAAAAAAACCCCACACACAAGAGAATTAGACATAACAATCAAATGCAGTGTGTAGACCTTAACTGGATTCTGTTTCAAACAAACCAACTATAAAAAGATAATTTTGTCTGGGTATGATGGCTCACACCTGCAATCCCAGCACTTCTTGGGGGGAGAGGTGGGTAGATCACTTGAATCTGGGAGTTCTACATCCCATCTCTACTAAAAGTACAAAAATTAGCTGGGAGTGGTGGTGCACGCCTCTAATCCCAGCTACTCTGGAGTCTGAGACAGGGAATCACTTGAACGTGGGAGGCAGAGCAAGGCTCCGTTGCAAAAAAAAAAAAAAAAAAAAAAAAAGAAACAAAAAAACAAGTATTTTAGGCATAACTGGGAAAATGTGATTATGAACCATTATTAGATAATATATTATTGCTATGTTAGATATAACATTGCAATTAAAAATCTTTAGAGATGCACACTAAAAAACAGATGAAGCAAATGTAACAGATGTTAAAAATGTGTTAATCTAGCTGCTCCAGGTACACCATCTATGGGTTATTCCTGCTCTACAAGGAAAAGTCAAAAAAAAAATTGTTAATCTAAATTATGGGCATTTGATGGCTCATTATAGTACTCTCTCCACTTTTCTAAATCATAGTGACAATTCCTCATCATTAGTATCTGCTTTACTCACCGATTACCAATTTCTTCCCTATGTTTCAACAGGGCTTGGTTGGCCATTTCTGGTTCTTCAAATTGCACATAGGCTTCCCCTGTTTTTCGTCTCCCTCTGTGGTCCATCACAAAAGTAATGTCAACTATATTCAGTCCTAGGACACCAAAAGATTTTAGTGTTACTAGCAGGTTTCTAGTACCCTTAGAATTAACCCCCTCATTCACATACTAATAAAATTTTTATTCTGTTTGCCAGTCCCAAAACTGAATACACGCTTGATAGGATGAAAACAATTATGCAGTCAAAATTCAGTAACACCTACATACCTATATTTCCAGAACATGTAAGGTCCAAGAAGTCCACCTAAAATATACAATCCTCCCCACCAGTTTTTTTTTTTTTTTTGTGGGTTTATTTTGCTGTTAATTATATGCTAGGAGACAATAGAGATCACAGATATCACTACTGATGGTTCTAGGAATTAGATGCTGCTTTTAAATTATAGAAATTGTTATCATCTTTCACACATACAGCCGCTATTATGAGAAGATATTTCTTTCAATAGTAAAACCCTCGTGAAATTATTTTGAAATCTGACATCCCCCCTTAAAATCTGATAGAACAAAAACACACATAAATCTACAAATATTAGAATATTAAGTGAAGAACTCTCCCCTAAATAACCTAACATAAATGCATGCTGTCACCCAGAAAAAGGCTCATCTAAGATATAGAAGCAGTTAACAGGGGAAAAAGGTTATGAGTTCCCAAGTATAGCTGCAAAGTACCTGCAAAGAAGTCTACAATGTCTTTCTCGTTGCAACTATAAGGAAGTCCTCTCAAACGAACCACACCATCATTTACCACAGGCGAAGATCTGACCTGCAGGTTCTTCATTAAGGCATCCACATCTTCATTGTTTATCTCATATACTACAAGGAAAGAGCACAAAAGGGATGCAAAATTCACATAACAAAGGAACAAACCCATTTAAAAATATATCATTAAAACTTGGGAGGCCGGGTGCGGTGGCTCAAGCCTGTAATCCCAGCACTTTGGGAGGCCGAGGTGGGTGGATCACAAGGTCAAGAGATCGAGACCATCCTGGTCAACATGGTGAAACCCCGTCTCTACTAAAAATACAAAAAATTAGCTGGGCATGGTGGTGTGTGTCTGTAATCCCAGCTACTCAGGAGGCTGAGGCAGGAGAATTGCCTGAACCCAGGAGGTGGAGGTTGCAGTGAGCCGAGATCGCGCCATTGCACTCCAACCTGGGTAACATGAGTGAAACTCCGTCTCAAAAAAAAAAAAAAAAAAAAAAACTTGGTAGGGTATCCAAGAATTCAAAAACTATTTTAATCTTTATACACTTCTCTATAGAAAATAACAAATGACATTTTTTTTTATTGTACTTTAAGTTCTGGGGTACATATGCTGATCTTGTAGGATTGTTGCATAGGTACACACATGCCATGGTGGTGTGCTATCTCCATCCCCCCCACCATCCCGTCAACTACATCAGGCATTTCTCCCAGTGTTAACCCTCCCCAACCTCCCCATCCCTCGCTATGTGTGCCCTAGCTCCCCACCCCCCAACATACCCCAGTGTGTGATGTTCCCCTCCCTGTGCCCATGTGTTCTCACTGTTCAACACCCACCTATGAGTGAGAACATGTGGTGACAAATGACATTTATTGCATATTTACTATGCGGGCATAACTTATTTAATTCTCAAAGCTTGTGAGATAATTGGTAGACCAAGCACGGTGGCTCACGCCTGTAATCCCAGCACTTTAGGATACCGAGGCAGGTGGATCATCTGAGGTCAGGAGTTTGAGACTAGCCAGACCAACATGGTGAAACCCCATCTCTACTAAAAATACAAAAATTAGCTGGGCATTGTGGCACATGCCTGTAGTCCCAGCTACTTTGGAGGCTGAGACAGGAGAACTGCTTGAACCCGTGAAGCAGAGGTTGCAGTGAGCTGAGATCACGCCACTGCACTCCAACCTGGCAACAGAGCGAGAACCCGTCTCAAAAAAAAAAAAAGATAAATTTGGTCAATATTCTCATTTTATAAGAAAGTTTATCTCTTTATGTTTTATTTTCACAACCTATAAAATAATACATTCATACCATCTAAATACTTCATTATTAAGGATCAAAAAAAAAAAATCGTCTTGAAAAGTATAAAACCTAATGCAATGATCCCAAAACGCCAGAATCTGACTTCACATACCTTCCACATACCGCTGGCCCATGTACATGCGGTGCTTCTCTAAGGCTTTCTGCACATCCTGCTCTGACTCCATTTCAATTAAGGCATCACCCCTTCGCTTTCCATCTCTATTTAGGAGGAAATGTATTCCATTCTGGCCATTGCGGATTCTGCAGTCTAAAAGCGTATGAGTAAAATCAATTAAAAACAGAAATCAAACTTTTAGCTCAATGAGGTAAGTCACAAGAACTCAATTTTCCAACAACGAAGCAGGAAACAAGTGTCATATTCCTTACACAAACCCCCATCATTGAAGCCATCCAAACACCAATAAGGATGTAGTCTCTAAAACATTCCAAGTAGAAAAGATAAGCAAACCTTAGCACAGAAGCTTAGGATGTCCTTCCTGATCATTAAATGGCAAATCAGGCTAGGCCCAACACAAAATGCGTTATGTCTATTCCAACATTTCCACAATCACTTAAGGAAATAAAATATAGTTAAATTCACACATAAATGTCTTTCTTTAAAATCATATCACAGGACTTTAAAATATTTCCTGTAAGAATAATTTTATTGGCCAAGCACGGCGGCTCATGCCTATAATCCCAGCACTTTGGGAAGCCAAGGTGAGCGGATCACCTGGGGTCAGGAGTTCGAGGCCAGCCTGAGCAATATGGTGAAATCCCGTTTCTACTAAAAATACAAAAAATTATCCGGGCGTGGTGGCGCACACCTATACTTCCAGATACTCGAGAGGCTGAGGCAGGAGAATCGCTTGAACCCGTGAGGCGGAGGTTACAGTGAGATGAGATCGAACCGTTGCACTCCAGCTTGGGCAAGAAGAGCAAAACTCTCAAAATAATAATTTTATTACCATAATTTAACTTTTTTTGGTTTTGTTTTTTATAGAAAGGGGGTCTCATTTTATTGCCCAGGCTAGTCTTGAACTCTTGGGCTAAAGTAATCCTCTCATCTCAGCCTTCCAAAGTGCTGGGATTACAGGCATGAGCCACCACGCCCAGACTTTTCCCCTTTTTCAAACTGTGTACTTTTTATAATGGGAGTAAGTCCAGGATGAAAGTGGACAAGTGGCTTTAAAAAATATTTGACCAGGCTCACTCTTGGCTTACTGCCTAGGAGTTATTCCTTCTCCACAAGGAGCTGCTAAAAAAAGTAATTAACGGACTTGGTGGCTCATGCCTGTAATCATAGCACTTTGGGAGGCCAAGGTGATAGATCACCTGAGGTCAAGAGTTCAAGACCAACCTGGCCAACATGGTGAAACCCCATCTCTACTAAAAATACAAAAAATTAGCTGGGTGTGGTATCGGATGCCTGTAATCCCAGCTAGTTGGGAGGCTGAAGCAGGAGAACTGCTTGAACTCAGGAGGTGGAGGTCACAGTGAGCCAAGATTGCGCCACTGCACTCCAGCCTGATCAACAGAACAAGACTCCATCTTAAAAAAAAAAAAAAAAAGTCAGATACAGAAACTAAAAAAAATCCCACAGATAGGTAAACCCTCCAAGCATGCTATTAAGGTAACTTTATTCTTGATACTAAGTGATCGTCTATTCTAAATGTATTACATGAAGAGCTACTCTTAATCCCATTATTTCCACTGACAGGCTTAGCATTTTGGTATGTATATATTAATGCCACAGAAAAAAAAATTTTTTTAAACCATGTAGTTTTGTTTTTTAACTTTTATTTAGTACATGTGCAGGACTGTTACATAGGTAAACGATGTGTTACAGGAGTTTGGTTTACAGATCATTTAGTTACCCAGGTAGCAAGCATTATTCCCAATAGGTTTTTTTGTTTGTTTTTGAGAGGGAGTCTTGCTCTGTCTCCCAGGCTGAAGTGCAGTGGCACAATCTTGACTCACTGCAACCTCTACTTCCTAGGTTCAAATGATTCTCCCACCTTAGCATCCAGAATAGCTGGGATTACAGGCACTGCCACCACTCCTGGCTAACTTTTGTATTTTAGCAGAGACAGGGTTTCACCATGTTGGCCACGATGGTATTGATCTCCTGACCCCGTGATCCACCCACTTCGGCCTTCCAAAGTGCTGGGATTACAGGCGTGAGCCACCGCACCCTGCCCCGGTAGGTATTTTTTAATCCTCTCCCTCCACCATCAAGGTGGCCCTGGTGTCTGTTGTTCCCCTCTTTATGTCCATGTATTTTCACGTTTAGCTCCCACTTGCAAGTGAGAACATACAGTATTTAATGTTCCATGTTAGTTTGCTTAGGATAATGATCTCCAGCACCACCCACATTGCTGAAAAGGACAAAATCCCATTCTTTGTTATGGCTGCATAATATTCCATCATAGCATGTAGTCTTAACATTAAATACTTTTGTCGAATTCAAAGTCTTTATATACACACACACACACACACACACACACACACAAATTGAGACAAGAGTCTCACAATGTTGCCCAAGATGGTATGGAATTCCTGGCCTCAAGCCATCCTCCCACCCTGGCCTCCCAAAGTGCTGGGATTACAGGCCTGAGCCACTGCCCCGGCCCAACGTCTTTCCATTTGTTACATACTACAAGCAGCACATATGGTGTCACCTGATATATGCAACCAACCAGAATGAGACAGTTCCTAACCATCAAAAAGGAAGTCAACAGCATAGTCTGATGTAGATTTGTGGCACTACCTTTTACTCAGACAAAATAACAAATGTAAAACACACATATCTGCTTGTGAGAAATATAAGAAAAAAAAGAAATAAACATACATAAAACATACCTGAGAAAAAGTTAAGCACATCTTCTATAGTGCATGACCAGGGCAGTCCTTGAGCTCGAATGAGATAGACATCATCCACTTCCTCTCCTGACTTGGATGGGGTCAATTCATACTCAGGGAGAGCTGGAAGGTCTTCCAGGTAAGTCGTTTTAGACTCCTTCCAAGGGAAATGAAGAATTGTAAATATAGTTATATTTACATGTAAAAAAAGTAAAAAAAAAAAAAAAAAAAAAAAATTCTATTTAGAAAATGTTTATTCTACAAACTAATATTCTAGATTATTTAACAGGCAAAAAGTGAACTTCACCAATCTAACCCATCCTGTTTTGGCTTAAATTATACATTCAAAAGCAGTAAACGGGTATATCCCAAAGGTTTGACAGGACATAAATTTCATTCAGGGTTTAAAATTCATCAACCTCAAATTGTATGTAACAATAGTGTTTTAGTTAAGGTGACACAAGACAGGCCCCCCTACAATGTGACAAATATTTGATGGCCCCTACACACAGTGTTTGGCCCACATCTGAAATAGTTATCTAGAATAAGATAAGCAGACAAGATGAGATGCTGAATGCTATAATTAATATTAAAAAATACTACGGGAATTCAAATCATGGCACTAACAGAAGAATCAGGACGTGACATGACATGGGTCTTGAAAGAAGGATGTAATTCTGATGGGGATAAATAAAAGGGCATTCCAGTTTGAAGGTGAGAGAAAGAAGCAGTATGACCAAAGGCCCATCTGAAAAATAGCAATTAATTCCAATTAATTCCATCTGTTTACATTATAGGGTACAATTAGGAGACAAAGAAGATGAGCTGGCAAAAGGAAGTTGGTACCACATAGCAAAGCGCCTTGAGTGTTGAGCTTAATGTGTGTCCTTCACTTGGTAGGTAAAGGGAAGTTAATAAAAGACAATGAGGACTGGGTAAATCAACAAGACAGCAGGATGCCTTGGGAAGACTCCTGTCAGCTGGTATGCCAGATCAAGTGATTAAGGGAAAGATCATAAAAGGCAACAGCAGCAGTGTGAGGTTAAAGACTTATAAAGTCTCTTTTATCAGATTAAGCACAAACAGGAATTTAATAAGTATTCACGCACTACAACCATAACCTAAGAAGACAATTCAGGTTTTAAGACTTGCACTCTACTGGATTAAGGACAAAAATATCTTTGTACTATCATTTTTTCTTTTTTGAGACAGTTTCACTCTTGTCACCCAGGCTAGAGTGCAATGGCATGATCTCTGCTCACCGCAATCTCTGCCTCCCGGAATCAAGTGATTCTCCTGTCTCAGCCTCCTGAATAGCTGGGATTACAGGCGCCCGCCACCACGCCAGGTTAATTTTTTTGTATTTTTTAGCAGAGATGGAGTTGACCATGTTGCTCACGCTAGTCTCGAACTCCTGACCTCAGGTGATCCACCCGCCTCAGCCTCCCAAAGAGCTGGGATTACAGGCGTGAGTCACTGCGCCAGGCCCTATCATTTTCATGAAGACTTATGTTTAATTTTAAGGAATAAATGTAAGCAGTTAATAACATAATAGATGTTCTACAGATTTTTATCACTGCAGTCAATTTCATAGGGAAAAAAAGGGGGAGGTAGCTCACACAGGTTTATTAGAGATCGTTTTGTTGTGCTTTTGTAGACAACTTTCTCCTTTTTTCCAGAATTCCATAAGCGTCACAAGGTTTTACAGAAAAGGGGCAGCGGAAAGTATTGGGTCAGGATTCAAATCAATGAGCTCAGCCACTGGCAGACAACAGCCATGCTGATTAGCCTCCCAGTCTCTTAAAGTTAAAGGAGAAGTACAAATTGAATTAAGATAAATATGACCCAAGGAATCAGGGGCTGGATAGTTAAAAAGCGTGCAGACACTTCCCAGACGTCACGTAACAAACAGAAGAGAAAGGTTAATCTACAAGGCACAAAATATCTGCAATCTGAGTTCTTAAAGTACACACGGGCTTTTTAAAAATATATATATATATATATATATATATAAAGGACAGAAAAACATTGTAAATTCATTCCTAGGACCCCAAGTTGTGTCGTCAACCCTCAACGCTCCCTCCCCTTCACCCCCGCCCCAACATCTAAATCTCCAAATTGCTTTCCCAGTCGAGGCGACACACAGTCCTAAAAGACCTTCTGTATGAGTGGAGTTGCAGAGGTGACCTTCAGTAAACCGGGACAGCTCGTCTTTCCCTGGGGACAGGAGAGAGCGGAGCGCGCTGGGGACAAGACTCCTTCACCACAATCCAGCCCACGCAGCTGTGTGCGCGCACCTTCTAAGCCGCGGCCGACCAAAAGGCGCCGAGGGCCGCCCAGGCCTAGCGCTCGGGCTGCACGGAAACTCCCAACCCTCCGGCGGGCTAGGGCCTCGAGACTTCACAACCAGAGGGCGGAAAGCGAGAGGGATGCGCGGTGGGGGCGTCAGCAGCCTCACGAAACCTACCATGGGCCCGGCAGGAAACAAGGTCTCAACATTCACCCCGGCCACACTTACACTGCCCAACCGACCAAAGACTCGAGGGGAGAACAAAACAAGGAGAAAACCCGAAGCCTGGGAGAGCGTCCCTTGTTTCGGGGCCCAATAGGAGCACAAGGAGGACGGAGGCGGGTGTGCAGCGCGTGCCGAGGATACCCGGGCGCGCCCGCGAGGCGCACACGGAGGGTCGCGGGGACGCGTGCGCGCGGCCCGGGAGGGGATCGGCGCCCGGCCCCTCGCGGCGCCCACGTACCTGGCTGTAGCTCCGCGTCGGACCTGCGGCCGCCGCCAGCGACTGCGGCAGCAGAGGGGCACGGAGGGCAGGGTAGGCCGCGGCGGCTACGGCCGCGGCAGAGGTGGCCGCAGGGGAAGGCCCCGCCAGCCTCCCGGGAGGCACAGGCCCGATCTGGAGGCCACGCGTCTGGGAGGCGGCGGCCGCGGCGGCCCCGAGCAGCAGCAGCAGGCGGCGACGGCCCGAGACGCCCGACGGGAATGAGCCAGCGGCGGAGTAGAAGGGCAAGCAGGCGGCGCCGGTGCGCTGGCAGCTGCTGCAGTTACAGCCGCAGCCCCGGAGCAGCGCCCCGAGTACCCAGCGCGTGCCGGCCATGGACTCCCGAGGCGGCGCGGGGCCTGTAGGCAGCTGCGGCTGCAGCGCGAGGGGAGCGGAAGTGGAATCCAGGGCCGGTGGGGGGTGCCGGGCACATGCGCCGCGGGCACAGGGGGCAGCGGTGAGTCGGCAGGAGGCGGAGCAGAGCGCGCCGTTCCTCCCGGTCTCCGCCCTCAGGGCGGGGCTACCCGCGGATCGGGAGGGGTCCAGGGAGCTGGTGCCACAGACCTGCTGCTCTTTTAGGCGGTGGAAACTGAGGCCCAAAGAATGAGGCTAGGGGCTGGGCGCCGTGGCTCACACCTGTAACCCTAGCACACTGGGAGGCCCAGGGTGGCGGATTGCCTAAACTCAGGAGTTCTAGACCAGCCTGGGCAACTCAGTGAAACACCGTCTCTACTGAAATACAAATTATTAGGCCCGGTGCGGTGGCTCACGCCTGCACTTTGGGAGGCTGAGGCGGGCGGATCACCTGAGGTCAGGAGTTCAAGACCAGCCTGGCCAAAATGATGAAACCCTGTCCCTATTTAAAATACAAAAATTAGCTGGGTGTGATGGCTAACACCTGTAATCCAGGCTACTCGGGAGGCTGAGGCAGGAGAATCGCTTGAACCCAGGGAGCAGAGGTTGCAGTGAGCGGAGATGGTGCCACTGCATTCCAGCCTGGGCGACAGAGCGAAACTCCATCTCAAAAAAAAAAAAAAGGCCAGGGCCATCCTGCTCTGGGTAGGGCAAAGACCTGGAGTGCAGGTCTGTGCAGCCTCAGGCTGTGCCACCAAAACCTGTGGTGTGAGCGGCTAAGGAGCCGTTTCTGAAAGGAATTGTGATATTAGTTATAAAAAAATCTTTGAGATAATATCAGAGATTTGGTATCCCAACCCCAAGTTTGAGATGTGAGGAAGGAAAATATTCTTCGTTGTTTTAAAATGAAATATAGGCCATGGCTCAGTCCTGTAATCCCAGCACTTTGGGAAGCTTAAATGAGAGGATCACTGGAGCCCAAGAGTTCTAGACCGGCCTGGGCAACATAGGGAGACCCTGTCTCTACAAAAAATTTAAAAAGCCAGGTGTGATGGTGTGGGCCTGTAGTCCCAGCTACTTGGGAAGCCCAGGCTGGAGGATCACTTCAGCCCAGGAGGTGGAGGCTGCAGTAAGCTGTGAATGCCACCAGTGCACTCCGGCGTGGGTGACAGAGTGAAACCCTGTCTCTAAAAAATATATATATATTTATATATTAGATATATATTAATATATATTATATATATTTATATATATAAATTAATATATATATTATATATATAATATATATTAATTTATATCGTGTTGATCATGTGCATAACAAAGGTGAACCCTCCCCTAATGAAACTGTATTCACAAATGAACAGAGATTTGTATACACACACACAAAGACTGGTTGTGCAGCTTTCCTCCTCCTGAGGCCAGAACCTGTCAAAGATAGATAAGTACAAGGAAGTTGTTAGAGTAAGAAATAAGAGAAAGCTAATATAAAAAACTTTTTACTGTGGAGAATGTCAAACAGAAGAATATATGAATTTCCAGAACTTCATAAATTGTCAACACTTTTCACTCGTTTCATCTATCCCCTACCTGCATCCTCCAACCCTTATTTTCTTTGCTAGAATATATTAAAGCAACAGATATTACATTTAAAGTGTGACTTCTTTAACCCGGACTACTTCTAGGTAAGGAAAGTTCAGTATTTCTTAGAAAACCCTTTTCTCAACCAAAAAACAAAGAACAAGAAAAAATTGGTAGGTTTGGTTCTGTGAACCTGGAGTATGAAAGAGAAGGGGGCTCACTTTTGTTTTTTGGGTTGAAACACAGTCCGACAGAAAGTATCGTCATTTTTGTACAAAAACAGGGACAGAAGAAAAGGCAACAGTGCAAATACTCCATCCTCCAGGAAGGCAGGCTGGAATGCCTCAGTGTTAAAATGACAGAAGAAAACCCCAGAGCAGGAACCACGAGCCCCTCATAGGAGTCTCAAAAATGTTCAGGACAGCCTGGCTGGGAGAGTGAGTGTGGGAAGGGCAGGCCCCCAGAGGACAGGTCCTGTACCCTCTGGCTGGAGACTAAGCCCTGGCCCCACCCCCGCCAGCCGTCCTCACCTTCCTTTGGGGTGAGAGCAGGTACTGAGGTGAGGCTGGTTTTTGTTCCCTACTCCTTCTTTGTGATTTGTTCTTAGATACCTGCAAAGGAGCCAACTGAGGCCTCAGGGATTGAGGACCCTCTGGAAATATGGTTCCTGGGAATGGGCCTGGATGTAGAAGCCACTGGATGTCTCTTCCCTGAACAGTTACTTTGTTCATCAGTAATCCTATAGCTTTCTAACTTTCTTTTTCTTTTTTCTTTTTTTTTTTTTTTTTTGAGATGGAGTCTCACTCTGTCAACAGGCTGGAGTGCAGTGGCACGATCTTGGCTCACTGCAACCTCTGCCTCCCGGTTCAAGCGATTCTCATGCCGCAGCCTCCCGAGTAGCTGGGACTACAGGCGTGCACCACCATGCCCAGCTAATTTTTGTATTTTTGATTTTATCATGTTGGTAAGAGATGGGGTTTTACCATGTTGGTCAGGATGGTCTCCATCTCTTTTGTATTTTTGGTTTTACCATGTTGGTAAGAGACGGGGCTTTACCATGTTGGTCAGGATGGTCTCCATCTCTTGACCTCATGATCTGCTCACCTCAGCCTCCCAAAGTGCTTGGGATTACAGGCGTGAGCCATCGTGCCCGGCCGACCCTGTAACTTTCCAAGGAAAACGAAGAACAGGCTAGTCTTCCTTGCCCCAGCCAAAAAAGAGAAGGGGGTTTCTTCATTTGCAAGATTTGGGAATCCTAGAGTTATTAATTTATTTATTTAGAGGCAGAGTTTTGCTCTTTTGCCTGATCTGGGGTGTGGTGGTGAGAATATGAATCACTGTAGCCTTGACCTCCTGGGTTCAAGTAATCCTCCCATCTCAGCCTCCCAAAGTGCTGGGAATTCAAGCATGAGCCACCACACCTGGCCTATTAAGCCTCCTTTTCAAGAAGGAAAATGGTTTAGCCCTTCCTAACATCATCACTACAAATAACAGGTTGCAGATATATTGAAGACTCTGCCCATATTTACTCTTGCCCTCATTTTCTTAGCAGAAATAGCAGAGTCATCATAAACATTTGAATGGATTGGAAACCTAAATAGATAGACAGAAATCCTGTACTTTATAATCAGGAGTATAAATAAAATTATAAGAGGCAGCCTGGACAACCTGGCAACACCCCATCTCTACTAAAAATACAAAAAAAATAGCTGGGTGTGGTGGTACCTGCCTGTAGTCCCAGCTATGGATAATCACTTAAGCCCGCAAGGTCAAGATTTCAGTGAGCTAAGATCTCACCATTGCACTCCAGCACTCCAAGGTACCACCTGCCATCCTCATGACAGAGCAAGATCTATCTCAAAAGTAGGTAAATAAAATTATAAGAGGCTGTTGGTTTGGACTGAACTCTTCCAGTAGGCCCAAAAGACCAAACCAAATTGGAGTTACTCACCTTCCATAAGACCAAACTGAAACTAAGTTTATCTTACCTTCTGAGTAACCAGGAGAGACAGATAATAGCCAGTGTTAGGTGGCATGATAAGAAAGTCCCCTCTGCTTTGACCTTTTTATTATAGGGAAAATACCGAAAATACTGACCCTATTTATTATAGGGCAAATACTGAAATAACCAATCTGCTTTGTGTTCTCTCTTTTTGTTTTCCACAGCCCTTTTCTATCTGTAAAGCCAACCTCCTTTGCTCAACTCATCAACACACTCATTCTGCTTTATAGAATATGATGTTGCCCAATTTTAGAATAGAAAATGAACCCCAATTAAGATTTGTAAACTAAATTCATTGTAATTTTGTCTTTCGACAGTTCTTGCAACTGACAAAGGGACCTGAAGGACACTGCTGATGCCTTCTGAGACTCCAATAGGAACATCGGAGAGGTGCCTCAGATGCTTTTTGAGGTCCTCAGTCTTCCTCATGAAGCCTCAAGAGTTACAAGTAAGTTCCTCTTAGGTGGACTCCCTTTTTCTCTTTGGCTTTTGAATTTAGGGTTAGTTTGTGCTGTGAGACGGTGCATGACCTTTTAGGGTTTACAGTGGCTGACATGTCATTGGCAAGAGCAGCAGTTTTATCTTGGCTGGGCACAGTGACACCTACCTGTAATCCCAGCACTTTGGGGGGCCAAGGCAGTGGATTGCTTGAGATCAGCCTGGCCAATATGGCAAAACCCTGTCTCTACTAAAAATATAAAAATTAGCCAGGCGTGGTGGTTCGCACCTGTAATTCCAGCTGCTTGGGAGGCTGAGGCCCCCTGAGAGGCCTCACCCAGGAGGTAAAGCTGAGATCACACCACTGCACTCCAGCTTGGGTGACAGAGCAAGACTGTCTCAGAAAACAAACAAAAAGAAAAGGAAAGAGAAAGGGTCCTGTGATATTGCCTAGGCTAGAGTGCAGTGGCCATTCACAAGCATGATCAGAGTACACTACAGCCTCAAACTACTGGGTTCAAGCGATCCTTCTCCCTTTGCCTCCGAGTGCTTGGGATTACAGGTGCATGCCATTAAGTCTGGCTTAAGAGCTGCAGGTTGGCAAGGTGCAGTAGCTCATGCCTTTAATTCCAGCACTTTGGGAGGCTGAGGTGGGCAGATCATGAGGTCAGAATATTGAGACCATCCTGGCCAGTGTGGTGAAACCCCATCTCTACTAAAATACAAAAATTAGCTGGGCATGGTGGCGTGCACCTGTAGTACCAGATAGTTGGTGGCTGAGGCAGGGGAACTGCTTGGACTTAGGAGATAGATGTTGCAGTGAACTGAGATTGCACCGCTGCATTCCAGCCTGACGGCAGAGCAAGACTCCATCTCAAAAACATTTAAAAAAAAAAAAAAAAAGCTGCACAGTATTTCTGGTTTTGTTTGTTTGTTTTTTGTTTTTTGAGACGTAGTCTCACGCTGTCACCCAGGCTGGAGTGCAATGGCGTGATCTAGGCTCACTGCAACTTCCACCTCTCAAATTTAAGTGATTCTCCTACCTCAGCCTCCCAAGTAGCTGAGATTA